TTTATATTTCTTTGTTCTTTATTGGTTAAAAATTCAATACTTTTGACAAAGCAATACTACTTTAGAGCAGTAGCAGCAAGGTATATATATATTTATTTAAATAAGCTGGTTTTATTTTTCTGCAATAAAAATTACTTATATTTTATTAATATAATTACTTTAACATGTCTACTTTTACTTTTACTTCTGCTTTTACCTCTATCTATATTTCAAGTGCTACAACTGCAGTTGCGAAAAAAATGAATTTGAGGTGATAATTTTTAAAATACTTACAAGTATGGATATTGAATGCCAGAGAGTAAGGTAAGAATTATCACTAAGTAATTGTTGAATTATTATATATCTGAAGGTACACTGCCATTAGATTAATATAACAGCAAAAAACTGGAAGCACTTTGTGGCCACAAGTAATTATTTGGCTAGAATAGCAGTACTTGTGAATGTCCTTTTTTGTTTAATTATATTAACTGAAAACTACTGTGTATTTTGCTTACATGACATCATTGATTGACTTCTGGAGCTGTGGTGAATAAAATATATAATAAATATTTTAGAATTAGCTATTAATAATATTTATTTTGATAACAATAAAACATTTACTTATATAATTTAACATTAATTAAACAAGTTAACTGGTGGTAATGGTGATATTGATATTTTTAAAAATTATAAAGAGTATTTAATATTGGTTTAATGTAAAAATTATACAATTACAAATATTAGTGTCAAGATAACATGCACTTTTGAAGAAGTAATGTTGAAATACCCTCCAAAATTAACAATAGGAATTCTTGTAACACCGGGTAATAATAAATATACAAGACCTGCTATACAAAGAACAAATTTATTTAATTATAATATTTTATTAATTAGTATTTTTTCAATGTCATTAGATATTTTTAATTATTTAATAAGTGAATTTAATGAAAATGATATAGAGGAAAAAATTAATGAATTAAAAAATTCTATCAGCATGTTGAATCAAAATCAAAAAAAAATCAAAAAAATTAATATAAATTTTAATTGTTTAGAAAAAATAGCCATAACATTACAAAATTAATAAAAAACAATTATTGTATTGTTAGTTATTATAATTATATTATTATCAATAAAGATTTTTAATTAGATTACCATTGATGCATTGCTTGTATTATTTAAAGTTAATAATTACAATTAAATACTTAACAATTATTAAATTATGCAGGGTGTATTATATATCGCGCTCGTGTAACCAATGATTTTTATTTATTTGTTAATTTGTCAATCGTTTTTTTCCTCAACAATTTTGATTTTACTTTGCTGTCGACACTTTGGTAATTGAATATTTTTTTATTTCCAACAAGTGCAGATGTAGATATATTTTCGAAGATTTGCTAGATAAGAAATTCCCATTCTATAAACCATCATTTTTGAATGAGATGCAATTAGATGAGTATAATGAAGAGCTAAAATTAGCATTCAAATTTCAGGGGTGTCAATATTTTTTTGAGAATCCAATGTTTCATAAATGCGCAAATTGATTTGGATCAGGAAAGGCAACATAATCAAAAAAAAGCTAAAAATATGTAAGAAACAAAATATAGATTTTATTTTAATATTGTATAATGCTGATTTATTACTATATATAAAAAGCAAATTGCAAAAGAAAGGTTATCTACCAAATACAGATATAATAGTGTGTCAAAATCAGATAATTCGTTGAAATAAAAAAACATAATATATTTATATTTATAATGAAAAGATGTTATATTGTGTATTTGCCGTGATAAGATAAAATCTTTGAAAAAATACCAGGGAGATAAAGATGTATTAGTGTGGCCTTTTAATATTGTAATGGTGGGAGCTAGCAATTTAGATAAGATTAATATAAATTTAAACTTGCTAACAATACCCAAATTTTATTACATGTTTAAGAAGAAAAAGTGTTCTAAAATAAGGGAACGTAATGTTAAATGTGATGATGTAGTTATTTTTGGACATCATTTAAATGAGCCAAAATATAAAATAGTTCAAGATTTTTATAAATATCTTGCCCAAGATAAATCAAAGCCCTATTATGAAAATGTTACATTTTCTATACTATCTTATGATAAAATCCCAGATCCCAAAAAGTTTAATGCTAAAAGAAGTATATTAGCGATATTTGAAGATCTTTACTCTGACCCTTCAGCTGTACAGAAAAAAATTATTCCATTTTTCACTCAAGGTTGTTATGAGAATATTTCCTCAATTTATATTGCTCAGTAATTTCATAAAATCCCAACAGATATTCGTGAAAATGCTACTCACATTGTTCTCTTTAATGGTGGGAACTCTATTTGAAAACTTGCAGACATTATAAGTCCTTATACTGATGTAGATTCACGAAAAGCTTCAAAAATTATTGATGGTTATTTGAAGCAAAAAGAGTTTATAGTTATAGATCTGAATAAACCCAGATCTGAGTTTTTCTCACTTCGATAGGACACCCTTCTTGATCTAAAAAGGGAGATCGAGGGATTAAAAGATAATAAAAATTTTGTCTAATCAGATCAGGATTTCAAATATTCAAGGAATTTTTCTGCTTTTCGCAATTCTATTATTTTCTCTTTGACTTCAGATCGCAATTTCTTATTGGCTTTAACCCTATACTCATTCTCCATAGTGATTTCTCACATAAATTTACCAAAAGTTTTTTCGTTATATTCCAGTAATCGTTAACATAAAATATCCAATTCTTTTTTAACCCTGCGATTAATCTCCTCCTCACATGTAAAGCAAGGACACTTATGTGTCTGATCACATATACAAATTGGATTAATATCTTGGGTTTTAAATTCTTGGTTAGCCATGTTTATATTATACGATAAATTTTCAAGTGGTTCTATGGTTTTAATTTGTTTTTTATACTTTTTATTTAAGCTTTTTTCATATATCTCTAATGTATAATACAAATAAGTCTCAATTCAATCACATTTTTCAGAAATTTGTTCTGGTGAAATGGAAGATTTAGAGTGATATAAAAGCCTATAATATGCTCTCTTAACCAGACTTTTTAGAAGTTTCGCTATAATGGGATTGTCTTCTGGGTGAAACATTTATTATTAGTTTGCACGCAAAAAGTTTGCAGGCAAAAATATATACCAATAAAAATCAAAGTAAAAAAAAAAGCTATTAATCATCACAAAATAGCAGTGAATAAAAGTCTAAAGTACTAGCCCTCAGGAATACTTTAGGTGATTTTATTTTAAAGATATATATATGTGAATAAGTTATAGGTGTATTATACATGGTTAATTTGACACATTTTTTCTCGAACTGCCTATAATAATTTATAATGTTTTGCTAATTATAAAGCACAGAGACCAGAGAGATGATAATAATATTCAATGAATTTACATTATATGATTGTGCATGCTCTGATTTTTTTACCAGCTTCTCTTGCACGCTTAATCTTCTTGATCGCATTAGACATCCATAAACCATATCTGTGTAATGCAAACTCATTATCGAAATCATATTCTGAAATAGATTGTTGCTTGATTTTCAGTAAATATTCGTCATAATTCACACCACAAAAGAAATTTCCAGTACAATGAGTAGCCCAGTGTCTCTCCATTCCTATATGATTATAATTAACTATATTTTTGATTCGTTCTCCAGTATATATAAGTTGATCACAGGAGAAACAGATAGCAAGTCCAATTTCAGGTGTAGAGCTTTTCCAAAACCCATTAACCTCAGACCAGTACTTTCTTAATTTTCTGGCTTCAAAGTATTTTCTATTATAAGGTATAAGATTATTCTCTCTGAAATACTATAAGCAAGGCCAAATTCGGTTCATCCATTCGGTAGGAGTCTCATTTGATAAAACAATACCCACCTCCAGAATTTCATCCCATTCAGCATCAGTACAATCAGTTCCACGTCTCTCACTTAAGCTAGTCATTGTATATAGTGTTTTTAGAGATTATGTGATTTATATCGAATTAGACCTATTTGATTTGGTTTGATATTGATACTTAAAACCAGATTCATTTTTTGTTGATTTATAAAGAAGCTGTTTCAATATATAGGGGAATAGAATCAAGGCTATCTAAAGTTGAGAACGTTGATAATTTTTCTAGTCTTTAGCTTTCAACTCAGAAAGAAACGCCCTATCTCTTAAGTCTAGCTCAGATTTATTTTCTATATGCCAATAGTTGTATTTATTTCGAATATTTTTTAGGAAATATAAGGAACAACCTATAAAACCACAAAACAGCATAGATATAACCACGCTAGATATGGTTATGCAAAATATGGATTTCGTTGGATGCGATTCCATATCGAAAAATACGGGACATATGGTTTCAGAGCTATGAAAAGCTTCGGCAGTTATTTGTATAATAAATGTTACATATATTGGGAGAAAGGTAGGGATTTATATTGTAAATAAGATTCATAATTGTTGCAATAAAATTTAAATTATTTCAGTATATTATTTATATATATTCTTAATACATTATCTGACTTTGAGCAAAAGGTGGAACATTGATATTTATATAAAATTACTCGGATCTATTTTGGGGTGTATTACAAATATCGTGCAATCCGAGATGTGCAAATCCGAGGCATATGAATTCGGTTAATTATACTACTTTTATGTGGAAAAAGTAAATGAACGTCCATAGATTTATACCGTTAAAACATGATTGAAACAATGTTGAAGTGTGGTTGGAAAAGCAATAAATTATATAATAGCGGAGCATATATATCTTAATATAATCACGGATATATGGTTAAAGTATGGTTAAAGTATGGTTAAAGTACTGCCAAAGTACTGCCGAAGTACTACCGAAGTACTGTTAAAATACTTAAGATATGCCTCCTTTTTTCTCTCAAGTTCGAAAAAAGATTAATTGTTATATAAGCTACGAAATAACAACTTTCGACAAAAATATCTGGCTTCGAGTGATAATCACGAGAACAAAATTCCAACTTCTCGCATTACATTCATTGTCGGGGTAAATATCATAAAAATGGTTGAATGGACCGATACTCAAATACGTATTCTCATTGATGAGCGTAGAAATAGAAATGAAGAATATCATAATTTTGGAAGGAATCGAATCAGATTTTGGGATAGCATTGCAACCAGAATTAATCGAGAATATAATACGAGCTTTAATGGACACCAATATAAAGAAAAATTTTCGAATCTTGTTCGGGATTACAATGTAAGTATGATACCATAAGAAATTTTTCCAGATTTTTTGCTTACGTTTTGCTAATAATTCATATCAATTAGTTGATGTGTGATTATATGACAGGGAATCGAAGAGCACGAAGAAGCCGAACGGGTGCATAATATTTCAATGAATTCCGTACACATTTTTGGGAAAGGCCTGAAGATGATTTTGATAGAATCCACAACATTAATAGTTCTAATCGTAGACAACGTAGAATTGGGGGAAATAATACAACCGCACCATTTACTGAGGAAGTTGAACATGAATTAGGTCAAACATTACCAGATAATCGAAGAAGCCGAAGAACTTCCATTGATAGTCGAAGAAGTCGGAGAAGTCATAGACGGTCAGCATCTCCATCTCTGCCCCGTGATATAATAAACATTAATACAAACAATCCTGGTGTGAAAAATCTTGAGCAAAATACTGGTTATACTAGTTCTACCGAAATACTATCTCTTCAACCACCACCTTACTCACGGAGTGAGGATGCTATCGCATCTGAGGCCACAGATGAAGCGCAAAATAATTCTTCAGAAATAAATCGGGGCCTTGTCGTTTCTAGCCATGAAGTGGTTGTCTCCGGTAATAATTTAACACCTAATTTGTTAAATACATCCTTATCTCAAAATGACAGTGATGTTAGTATGCACGATGTAGGTAGTCAACCACTGGAATAAATGGGGGAAGTTAGACCTTGTCCTGCTATGCAGAATTTCGTCTGAAAAAAAGTAATAAATTTTTAGCACCTTGTACTTCATAATGTCGGAAAATATCACAAAATAAAATCGACGGTTATGGAACTTTTATTCCACGAAAAAATAATATATATATCGAAAATGTCGGCCACTTCAACTCCAGCTTCCGCTTCTAGTATTGTAACCGAAGAAAGAAAAGCCAGCTCCCACTTTGGCCGAAGTGGTTAGAAAGTTAAATATTGAAAAGCTCATCGAATTTTTCCGTGGAGAAGAAGACTTGCAACTGGACGAAAACGATTTCAAAATCCTCCGCGATGAGAAGATCACCGGTCGTGCATTCCTCAAATTAACCGAGGAAAAACTTCGTAGCTATGGTATGAAAGGAGGGCCTGCGACGGTTCTCGTAGACTTTGCCAAGGAAGTTAAGGAGAAAAAATTGAGGGCTTTTTCGTCATACCGCAGTCTGAGAGAAGTGTTATTAAAATATGACCTTGATAGTGATGGTATTGAATCCATCCCGCTATTCTCCCTCCCATCCCATGAGATTCAAGAAAATGATAAGTATTTTGCGCATTGTATGGCCAAGATTTTAGTCCGGTTGAGAAATTACGGGATATTACTCGTCGACAGCTTAGAAAGCATGCGGAACGAATACGTCGTGGCTTTATTACATTCTGCCCTCCATATCGTACGAGACGACACACAAAAGGAGTTTAGTATGAGACCGCAATATGAAATCACGAGAGAAAAAAGTACAGGCCGAGTCGATTACGCAATTAAGGTATATTTTTCGTATGGTTAACATGTAAAAGCCAAATAATTTCTAATACCCACATTCACATTGATAATAGGAAACCGAGGATTTGATTTGCATCACTGAGGATAAACAGCATAAAGTCCCAATGGGGTACGCGCAAAATATCGCACAATTGGAGAGCTCGTTCGAAACAAACAAGAAAAAACGAAAAGCTGACGATGCATTTTCCGATGACGATTTCGATTATCTATATGGTATTGTTACAACTGGTAGGGACTGGCACTTTCTGCTATATAGTCCAGGACAGATCTCACAAGGTAGCAAACGACCATACACCATCGAATTCACGGATGAAGCTTTGATTGAGGATTCGGAGGAATATCACACATTGTGCAAGAGCGTGAAAAAGGTATTGGGTGTTATCGTTGCATTGTTAAAGGATAGGGCGTGTGTTGAAAAATCGCCGGCTAAAAAAAGGGCTAGGGTCGAGGAATACCGCGCCAAAAAATGATGTAATAGCGAAGCTAGTGTCGGAGACACATAGTACCCAGATTTGTAATTTATTTTTTTTCGTTAATAAAGAAATGAATTTTTCTTGGTTTCCGAGACATTATGTCCCGCAAAATTTCATCACGTGAATTTAACTTTGTACCTTACACTATTTGAATGAATGAGCTTTTTATATAAAGTAATGTCGAACCCTCAATCCAAAATTGATTCATTGAAGGAATTGAATTCCAAGCTTGTAGCCGAGATTGCCGAGCTTAGAAAGGAGAAGGCAAAGTTGAAGCAGATTATTGAGGAGATACGATGCGCGGTGCCAGAGTTGAGGAACTAGAACAAAAGAATACAAGGCTTGAAGCTAGACTTGCGATATTGGAACAGGGAGAAAAAGGTATTTCCACAAAAGATGTTTCGTAATCTCCAGTAATTCCAATTATACTCTTAATACACCATCATCCAATATATCCAATAATGCTTCAAATTCTGATGTATGGCAAGAATCTTTGACCCAGCCGGAGGTTGGCTTACTCCAATGCTCTGCATCACCTATATGCAAACCAAAATCATTGGATGAAAAGAAAGATGAATTATTTCTGGATTTGAAAAGTAAGGAAAGAGTTAGTAGCGAGATAAAGCAACGTAATAGAGAATCAGCTGAAGACCAATCCCCGAACTTAATTTCAGATGTTTCTATCTCTCCCGAGCAAAATCATGTAAGCGGAAAAGATGAAGAGCCTGATGAAATTGAGCCCACTAAAAGTCAATGTATAGAGCAGGGGTTAACTTGCGAAGTAGTAGAGTCATTATCTCACCAGTTTACAGAGCATCAATCATCTCAAATTACAACACAAAGCTTAATCTGTTTATTCCAAAATGCAATACGCGCTAGACATGAAGAAATTTTATCTTGGTACTATTACTCTGATAGTTTTGAAAATAAAGTTATCGAAATTTGCCGTGAGACAGGAGTTACAGATAAAACTGCTAGAACGTAATTATATAAAGAAATGCTAGAGCATCGACCTAGTATAACTTGCGTATGAAAACTTTAAGAGCTAAAAAAATTCGAATGCTATTTGGGAAAAACGGAGTTGGAAATAGAAAAGGTTAAACAAGTCTCCTACAGTATATATGCTATTTCTAGTCTTACCAATAGCCAAATTCAAAATATTATCAATAATGTAACTTCAGCGTTACCTGAAAAGATATCACCAAGTGATGAGGATAAGGGAATTCTTATAAGAAATGAATCGGATATTGATGCTCTTACTCTTCTCTTGCAACAGAAATTCAAATTTTCAAAGAAACTATTAGATAAATGGAGAGGTAATATCGCCTTGAAATGCGGGATAATCATAATTACTGGAAAAAAGAACGCGAGAGTATGCCCGAAGTGGATTTCTTAAATCACAAGAAAAACTTTGAGGTTAAAATGGACGTTTCTACTACTCCCCATAAAAAAGAATTAAAAGAGCATTATTCATTGTTCATTGAATATGTGTAAGTAGAATTATCCGTGCAACCGGTAGTGACTTATGATACGTCTCATGGAATGAGGATGCTCAGCATCTAATTGGTTATTTGTATTTTTTTCGTTAATGATGAATTTCACATTTCGGACGTAATGCTAATTCTGACGCATAAAAATATCAACTTTATTTTTAGCACCTTGTACTAGCTCCGCTAAACTTCATAATCATTCGTGGGTCAATGCGATAATCCCCTAAGCGATCCATTCATTCTTAGTCTGTGAAATGATTTTCTTCAATTATGCAATGTAACTTAAGAATAGATGCTATTAATAATCAAAAAAATGCTAATACCTGTAATATATGATTACGTTTTCTATCAAGTTAAAAAAATTGTTCTTGTTTATATATCAGCATTTTGATCTTCGCCGAGAAAATCTCTGACCATCATGCGTACAATAGATACAGTGAAATTACTCACATGAATCTCGTTGCATGCTTAACATCACGCGCCTCAACAAAATTTGGCGCAGTGTATCTAATAAATTTTCCGGCAATGAAATAATAAGCATCTTCGTACTTGATAGAAATTAAGCAATAAAATTCTTGCATATGAGGCGGTTGTAAAAATTAATCGTAGTGGTAAGTGTGAATCGGTAATGTTGTCTTGCACTATTTTTTTTACCTCAGTTGCTAATCCCCGAATTTAGGCTATAGATTCGAAATTGTTCAATCTCGGGAAAGTTCTCATATCTCAGTTATAGTGATAGTTTTTGTACTCCCTAGCATCATATATTAGTGATGGTAAATTTTGATGTCATTTGTCATTTGAGGGTCATTTGAGGTCATTTCAATGTCATTTGCCATCCCTGTTATACAGTGCAGGACACTTATAACCTACAAAGAATTTATACAATTTTTAAAGTTTTTCACATTAAGAAACAAAAGAATTAAAAAATAAATTTTATTATAGAATGATACAGAAGAACCTAGAAAACAAGTCTATAGAAACAATTTATCAATTGCTTGAGTTTTGATAGAGTTGAAACCTTTTAAAGTTTATCACTTTTACTAATAAAAGTAAGAATTTGGCTGACTAAATCTAATCACGTGACACATAATTAAGAATTATAATTGGTTAGATTATGTAAATAACTTATTAATGCTGCAATTGTCTAAGAGGAAATTACATTTAAAAAAGACAAGTGAGTTAAAAAAAAAAAGATCAATGGCAGGAAGTTAGTAATAATTGACAATAGTAAGATTAATTAAGTTTGAAGGCATTATAAGACAACTACAGGCAATTTCAGAAGAAACTGCTCAGCGGCCACTTATATACCTTGGAAATTCTATAAGAATGAAAAGATGACGGAAGCAAATACAGTGAGAGACTGCAGCTAGAATGTATAAGATAGAGTCCTTTTGGTCACCAGTAAGTTACTTTTCAAACTATATATAGTTCATAGTATTTATTTAACTCGAAGTTTATTTTTTTGAATACAAAGGTAATTGCAAGTATAACAAATATTAACGTCACTAATTTGAAGACTGATCATGATATGGGAACTGAGATTGCCAAAGATTGCAATATTATGTCTTTTGGAAACTTAGTTAATATCATTACATGACTAGTTAATGAAGTCAAGAGTAGTAAATTTAATAAAGTGGAAAAGGTTTGTCTTTATACAATATTAGCTTACCTTTGTCTTGTGAAATGTGGCAAAAAAAAAATTGAGGCAAGTACTATTATAGCAGAAGCAACTGGAAAAGATGTTCATTATGCCTATTCCATATAAACATGGGCAACAAATTATATCCAGAATGGTATCTTTTCAATCCCGCAACAAGAAAAGTATTCAAAAATATGGAGTTTTTTATGGGATAATGATATTTTGCTACAGATCAAATCTTTTCTTCAATAAAATAAATGAAATATTACTTCAAATGATCTGACAAAACATGTAAATAAGGAAATACTTCCAAGTCTTTGTTTCAATCCATCACCGATGATATGTGTAAGAACAGTGTGCAGATGGCTAGTAGAGTTTGGATTTGAGTATTCAGATATTAAGAAAGAAATGTATATGAATGGATATGAACGTTCTGATGTAGTGGCTTACTATACGAAATTTTTAAAGAGGATGGCAGGCTATGAAGAACAAATAATAGTTTTCTCTGGTGAAGATATGAAAGAAGAAATCCAGCCGGCTGCTTGTCAAATTGTGATTTTGATAACACACAATGAATGTATTTTTTCAGCATATGATGGAAGATGTCAATTATGGATGCCAAAAGGGGAACAGCCACTTCATAAGAAAGACCAGGGACAATCAATTTATGTAAGTAATTTCCTTACAGATATTGATGGACGTTTAGCATTATGTGAGGAAGACAAGGTATATATGTTTTTGCTTCTTACTTTAATTGATCTTCTATAATAGGGGTGAAGCTAATTAAAATTTGTCTTTAGATTGCTTTCCTCAATGTTCCAACAGAAGCATGTGTTATAACACACGCAGGAAAAAATAGTGATAGGTGGTGGAATTTAAATAATCTTGTGGATCAAGTAGTAAATCGCGCAATTCCAATATTTGAAACCCGGTTTTCAGGTGCAAAGGCACTTTTTGTATTTGATAATGCTACTAGCCATGCTACATATGCTGAAGATGCTTTTTTAGTACAAAAAATGAATTTATCATTAGGTGGCAAGCAACCAAAAATGAGGTTCATATAAACTAATAGATTTTTATTTTATTAATATTAATTTTAATACAAATGTTTAGAAGCACTACATATGAAAATAATATTCGTCAAGATATGTGTTTTTCAGACGGTAAACCAAAAGAGATAGAGATAGTTTTAAGGGAAAGAGAATTGTGGTGTAATGAGATGAAATTAAAGTGTAAGGGTCAATATAAGAAAGAAAAAATTAATTGTTGTGCCAGGATGGTAATGGCAAGTCAATCAGATTTCAAAGCACAATGAGGGATGCTTGAAGAGGCAATTGTTGCTGCAGGTCATGAAGTTATATTTTACCTAAAGTTTCACTGCAAGCTAAATTATATTAAAAATTTTTGGAAATCAGCAAAACGGTATTCACAAAATTACTGTGATTACACATGGGAAGACTTGAAAAAAACTGTATTACAAGCTCTTGCATCAGTATCACTTAGTGAAATTAGATAGTATTCTCAAAAAGCTTTTAGGTATATAGATGTGTATCATAAAGGTCTAACAGCAAAGACTGCTGAATATGCTGTAAAGAAGTATTGATCACATCATCATATTTCAGATTCAATTTTACTTGAGATTAATGTAATAGAAGACTAACATATTGTTATGAACAAAAAGGGGATCATGATAATGTGATATGTGTCACGTTATGTAATTAGTGTTGTTGTGGAAAGAACAGTGGAAAATTAATGTTGAAAAATTTAAAGGTGGGAATTTCTAGAATAGCGTAGAACGAGTGATCAGATGTAAACATATAAACAATAGGTGCATATATAAATACATATACAGTTCAGTAGCATATAGAAAGATTTTTGGAGAATAAGAGTTAGTTAAGAATGCGCTAGCATTTAGTCAATAAAGTTAAGTTTATAAATAAACTCTTACCTTGTGTTTAGTATGCCAAAGCAGACTTGTAACTTGGGCTACATGACTATGAGAGAGAATTGACAGTTGCCTAAGGGAATTGGCATAGGAAAGGTTCTAGATTGGTTGGTAGAGAAGTTAAAGTGAGAGAACAGTCAAATCAGAAACATGTTTCAAGAGTTAGAAACTTACCTTATTGTGAACCAGAAACATCGACTAGTAGTGTGGGCTGGATGAATAGCTCGTAACAATATATATTTCTTTTAATTGTTTTATTTTGCAAAAAACGAAAATCACTTTAATCATGACATTTTAAAAATATATCAAAAATGATATTATAATTGATTAATATTATCGTTATATAATATACTATTATTGTCATTCTTGGCATTATAAATTATGATGATGCAATAATTATGGAGGTTACTGTATAATCAGCATAGGTGCAATGATATTATTGGTTAATATATAATATCATGTCATGTGATTTAATTTTTCAGATTTGGCCGCATAATTAAAAGTTTGTAGGTTATAAGTGTCCTGCATTGTATTAATAAAAATCTATTAAATAAATTTGTTTTTTATATTCTTATTAATAATATTTAAAATTTTATTTTATTTTATAAATTATTTATTGAATTATAAATAAAAATATAAATTGAAAATTTGTCCAAAGACTTTTTAAACAAACTATATATTACTAAAATTAATAAATTCTTAATACAATTGATATAATTATTTAATACAATTAATTGAGTTACTATTAAAATATATAAATAATTGAGTCATAATACAATTATTTAAGAATTTTGGAAATTGAATTAATAACAAATAATATATATTATATATACAGTATGGAAAGTTCAAAATTGGAAATTAAATAATAATTGTATATATATAAATAAATAGAAATAATATTCCAATTATAAATTTTTCATATTGTATAACAAAAGATCAAATGATCGTCTAGGTAATGTTATGATGATCAACATTATGTTTGATGCATTTCCAATTCCATATCGGTTGTTTCCTCTCCTATAGTCCACGAGACTATAAAAGAAAAATCTGTTGACCCCATTAAGCAACTTCGGGATGATCACTTAAAATGAGCCACATTTTCTCCAAAATATTTCAAGATTACTGTAATCATATGAATATCATTCTAGATGTTCTTCGCCAGGCAAACTTAAAACTGAACATGGAAAAATGCCACTTCTTTCTCGCCAGTGTCAAACTTTTAGGACATGAAATCAGTCGTGATGGAATCATGCCAGATGATGACAAACTTATCAAAGTTAGAGACTTCCCAAAACTAACAAATGTCAGACAACTTAGAGGATTCTTAGGATTAACATTCTATTATCGAAAATTTATTGCCAACTTCTCAACTATTGTCAAACTATTGAATGAACTTTTGGAAAAACAAATACCCTTTGAATGGACTGAAACACAAGAAAAAGCATTTTAAATGCTAAAACGATATTTAATTTCTGCACCAATTTTGAGATATCCCGATTTTAACCAACCATTTTACCTACACACTGATGCTTCTGGTACTAGATTAGGAGCAGTACTTGCCCAATGAGAAGGAAAACAAGCTTTATATTTGAATAATTTAATGTTTAATTAATTTTTTATAAGCTAATTTCTAATATCAATAAATTAAATATATTATTTGAAATATAATCCTTGAAAAAATATTTGTTAATTTGATAATTATTAAAATTAAATAGTTTTGGATTTAATATTTTTTTAAAATAATTAGTAATTATTTTAATAAGTTTATTAGAATATTCATAAAAATAGTTATCTTCTAAAAGATTTTAAATCTTCTAAGATTTTTTTAAATATATTTTAAGTTTGATTCAGAATCTTATATAATTGAATTTGTAACTTTTTTAAATTTCTTACAAAATTATTTTATTGCTTTTGGCAATTTTTTTTTAATCAAAGTTTTTAACAACTTTTTGAAATTTTTGAGATATGAAAAATTGTTTGAAATCTTTTTAAGTATTATAGTTGCAATAGTTAATAGTTTGTTAATTGAATTATTTTTAACAAAAAATTTTTTTATCTAATTCCAATTACTTTTTTTATATATAAAAAAGAATAAAAAAATTTTTGTTATAAATTTTTATAAAAATATTAATATATTGTTTAAATAAAATTTGTAAAAATTTATAAATTTTCATAAATTTTTATTAATTAATTATTAAATAAAAATATAATTAATATTTTTTTTTGCACCATACTGTATATACTTAAAAAAAACTAATCGAATTATAAGATAAAATAATTTTAATTACGTATATTGTTTTTTGAAAATAAATTTTTAAATTTAAATCTACAAAATATAATCATTATATTTTTAAAAAAACTAAAAATTAAATCAAATTTCACCTTGAATATTACTGTTTAACTTTGCGTAAATATAAAATTTTAATTTCACACCACGAGTAGAAAAAAAAATTGCCTTTGAACAATAAAACATCTGCTTCAAATATAATTATGCAATATCAAATTATGATTAACTCTTCATTTTTGTATTAAAAAGCCCTCAAATCATATTAAATAATTTATATAAGAGAACTACATAAGTTACATGTTTAAAAATAAACGACCTCCTAGACGTCACAAATATTAAAATTTGATTAATACCACAAAGTCTTATATATAATTCTCATCGAAATGTCATCAGATATAATTAATATCATAACTTTACTAATTAAAAATATCACCTTATTTTACAAAAAATATATCGTTCAGAAATTGTTGAATAAATATTTGATTAATTTGAGAGAACAGCAACTCGCTTTATGTGTGGCAAATTCAACCTAACATCAGAGATAATAAGAAATATGTTAACAAAATGTTCATTTCATAAAATGTAAACATTCAAATCAATCATACCAAGATGGAACATAGCTCTCTGGGGGATGCACTTCGCGCGGGAGGGGAACCTCAAACGGGCCAGAATCCTCTAAAGGTGTTGTATCAAGTAATAAAATGTCTGATTTATCAACGACCCGATGCGCAACTGCCTTTAAAATTTCAGGACTGATTGGATTCTATATAATGCATTGATGTTAAAGAAGCATAAATTAAGAATCTTTTAAAACAAACGCACTAAACACGAAATTACCTCGTAATCCGCAACGAAGTAATGGCTTATAAGTTTTTGGATCTGAGTTGGGGACAGCATCCAACAGACATCGTAAATGATCTCAATATCTCCTAGCGACGACTATTTATCAAAACATTTTATGTAAAAACGTGTTTCGGGAATAGGACAAACGAGAAATAGAGTAAAAAGAGAAAGAAAAAATACCTTCTTGAGTTGCAGAAGTTTCGTGGCTTGCATCAAGTGTTCTAATTGAAGTGTTCCTTCAGGCATTTCGTGACTTTTGCACCATTCCTCTATTCTTGTAATGTTATATTGAATCTGCATTGCTATAAATTGTTTTCAAGAAGATTAATAAATTCGTTTTTCGACTTTTTCTGATTGACAATGAATTAATAGATTATTGAACCTCGTTTCCAAGAACAGAAATTACGTCTGAGGCGTTGTAATAATAGGAGAAAGTTAATTAATTATTCCAAAAAGTCGATTTTGAACTTCGAAATTCTCACCTCATCAGCAAATCGTTGAAGGATGTAACGCCAATGAGTTTTAGTAGTTCTGTGACCACTTGTTGAATAACAGACATTTCGACGTAATATGACTTCATAGCCTTCCACACTTTATTCAAAAAGTTTAAAAGATCATCCATATTGAATGCAGGGCTTGCGGGGCCGGTTATAAATTTTGTGATGAACCGATTGTTTTCACTAGTTACAAAACCAGGCAACGATTGGCTTTCGACCACAGCGGGAATAACCATCTTGAATAATCTCTTTTTGAGTTCTTTCATCCAAGTATGGTATACATTGTACTCTAAACTTTCCAAGTCATGTTTTACAATGGACACAAGCCTTTCGTAATCATGCCATTCGAAGTTTTTACCATTGGAGTTGGCCGGGTTTAATCCATGAAGCATATCTTTCTCGGCAGCATTGGCGAACGATAACAGCTCGTGAACATTAGAAAGCCAATATGCTCCGGGAAGAATAGCCTCATCTCCTTCGCATTCCTAATACCGCATATTTCAAGATACATTCAATTAATTGGACAACACAAAAGAATGACACACGACAATCAATTTTATTGACATACCATAACATGCTCTTGAATAGTTTTCATGACATTTGCAAACAACCTTTCTGATTCTTTTATGAAACCAAATTTCCACATTTGCTTTGCCAAAAGACTGATTAGTCGGGAGGGGAATAATATCTCTTTGGTAGATGGGGGATTTTGCAAGCTTGGAAGTGGTATCTTCAATGATTTAATTAAACCATTAATAACTTCATCATCCAAGGTTTCTTCATCCTCAAGTAGTTTCATTATCTACCAATAGAATAAGGTTAAATGCCAGATTCCTTTATGTATAAACATCAAAATATAAACAGTTAAATGATTGTAAATTCAAACAACCTCCTCTTCGGGGTCATCATCTATCCCACTTAAGACTCGTCCTCCTGGAGACCTTATCTTTGGAACAGTCATTTGAGTATAGGATGCTGATGCCGGCCTTAATCCAGACTTTAACTTTGTCTCGGATGAATCAATCAACATCTTGGGTTTACGTTTAATTTCATTCGGTACCAAGGAATCGGCAGAACTGTGCCTTCGGGGTCTTCGTTTCTGAGGTGGTTTAAGAGAAGATGAGGTGGTAGCAGCTGCTGTCAAAAATCCATTTTCTTGGCGGTGTGAACTTGGCGGCGTGGCGTTAGTTGCGCCACTTTTAACTTTACTCAATTGTTCTCTAAGCGAGGTGATCTCTTGCTTCAGCGCAAGAACAGTAGCCGGATCCTCAGCGCCCTTCCATTTGTCAGCACTTGCGCGAAGTCTAGAAACCTCATCATCCTTATTACTAATTTCATCCGTAAGGCGTTTGATCTCAGTATCTTGCTTCTTGATATTTTCGAGGGAAGTACGATAGCGAGATTCAAGAACTTCCTTTTCTGATTGTATGGATTTAAACTCGTCAATGGAAATAGTCGCCTGTGTAGTTTCCTCCTTGAAGCTTTTGCTATCAGTCTCTAATTTCTCATACTTTTCAACCCAGGATTTGACTTGTCTTTCTAAAGATGATATCTTTGTTTCTAGAGACTTATTTTCCTGATTCTTTTGCTCCAAACTTTGAGTAAGCTCAATAACCTTATTTGTAAGTTTAGATGACATTTCTTTAAAGTGACTAGCCGAGCGAGCTTCGATCTTAAGTTTCTTGAGTTCAGCTCTTGCCATGCGACGACGAAGGCATGATTGCATAAATACAATAAGCCTTAAGGTTCTCTTGTACTCGCGACGACACACCCTAAATCGAAAAAAAAAACATTGTAAATATGGTTTTGTAAGTATTAGAGAATAAAATGGTAATGTATGTGGAAAAATACATACGATCCACGATATACCGCTTGAATCTTGGTCGCAGATGCATTTCTCCGAAGTGTATTGAATTTGTTCTTTGCAATAACACAGCGAGCAACTGAAATGATAATTACGGTCAATGAGAATGGCAATATTAGATTGCATGATCCTTAAGCAAAAATAATATTTACCAACTTGCAGCTTGTGAACGGTTTTGGTTGCACGTAAGTAACGTTTCTGATAAATATATCTCTTCCAGTTTTTCTGAATTACGATAGCGGCCCTTTCTTCACGAAGTCGTTTAAGCTCTCGCATAGATATACCTCTTCGAATCAAAGATTGTAATTTTACAGTGGTTGCTTTTAACATTTCGTATCTCTTCTGATGCATATGACGAAGCATATTTTTTTGCATTAAAGTCACACATTCATTCAATCTATCGAGACGAAGCTTTTCCAGATATGCAACCTGTAAATTAATTACCATGCAATTAATATATTATATTTAAATCGAAGTAGAATTTTCATAAGACATGCCATGCCAGCGCGGAAGAAAAGTTTGGTAATTCCGATCTGGAATTTATCGGGAAGTTTGATCGATGCTTCCAGGATGGAACCACACAATTTTCTAGTATCCGGTCCCCATTCTGTTGACCGAACAAGCATGTAATACCTGACGCGAAGATATTCTATTGATTAGATATTTGAAAGGAGAGAAGCAAAAAGATACTTGATCTATACCTTTGAGCGAATTCGTCAAAAGTCCTACGAGATGGATAACCAACACAGCTTATTCTGATGGTCTCCAAAACACCACAAGCACGAAGTTGACTAAGGACCATTTGAGGTTCAAATTTCCATGCGACTTTCGCTTCATTCGGTTTGATACATCGAATGTAATGAACATTGGTCGAATTGATGGTTTCCATTAGACTAATTAAAGAACCCTAAAAAGTATTCCCATTGACACCCATTTGCAACATCATTTAGAACACGGTCATATAGATAATATAATACTATTGATTTTAAAGTGTTCTTCGCTTACCTTGAAGATTGAACCTAATGTGGGTTTTTTTGAGGACATGCTAATGCGTTTCGTTTCGGTCTACGTACAAAAACAAGCATTAATCTATTTACTTATGCAAATGATCTTTGAATTAAAAACATCTTTAATACCTTTGTTGTGGGTGACGCTGCGGGAACACTTTTATTCATGACCTCATCCAAAAATTCAAACTCGGTACTTCTCAACAAGGTTAAATGTTCATCAGGCACGGTATCTCTGTTTTTTTCCAAGAAATTCTCAATTTCATAAGTAACCGCATTGGCGTAATGATTGATAGTAAATGCAACGTTCGAAAATTTCGGTTTTTGAAAGTATTTGTTATGCGGCGGATTCTTAAAATTTTGATAGAGTTTATTGCACAATGATTCATCACTACCGCCTGGCAAACGACTTTCCTAAAAATAAATAAATAAATATTTGAATTCCAAAAAAAAATATATTTATAGATCAGATCAATCCGAAAGATCACGATTCATCTACCTCGTCCAAAAGAGAAAGGATTCCTATTTTGCCTTCGATCAAATCGATACATGGCTGATTATCACTGAATTCAATGAACGTCCAATTAATTTTCTCACGCACGTATTCCTAATGCAGAAGGGAATCAATAATATAGTTATTATTAAAATCGAAAATAAAAAACTTTGAAAGTCGCCTACCTCTTGCTCTAACTTGAAGACGTGTTGGTTGAACTGTAAAATCAAATGAATGAGAAAAAGCTATAAATAATAGTATCAATTCTAGTAAAAAATTATTTGTTATTGGAAAAAGAAACATGCCTGCTGTTGTAATTTTTCGTTTGCATAGTTAATACAAAATTGTTCGAAGGAATTCTTTTTGAAATGCTCAAATCCGTAGATATCAAGAACACCAATGAAACTCTTTGTATTTTGATTAATCTCTTCACTGGACAAACTCTCGTTGATAACGCTGACCAGCCAATCGAATAAGTTCGCATAAATATACTTTGCAACAGAGTCTCTGACGACTATAGCGGCTTGAAGATTTAAATCTGTAACAATCTTTTCAGTTCTAGTAACAAGTTGTTTTTTTACTATCCACTTTTTAAATTCAAGCAATTTTATTCCAAGTAAATTTGTTGCGATTTTTAAGGACGCATCATCTTCCGAAACCGCCGCGACATTCCGACTTGCTGTAATTTGAATATTACCAATGTGCAAGAGGGCCGCACAAAGTCTAAAAACCTGCCATTGCGTCTGAATAGTAATTCCTACTGTGGATAGACCTTTTTTTGTGTCCTCAAATTCTTGAGCATCATCAACACCAGGTATTGTGCCGATGCCCCCTTGTCGTAGGTAATGAAATTTACGATAGTCATCGTGAAGATCAAGGTTTTTTTTTTCTGAAGGAGGTGCTCCAGCACAAAGCTAACAAACGAACATATTAGATGAGTATCAAAGATATATGTTGTTTGCATTTAAATAAAAAAACAACAATACCTGATAAAAAATATGATAATTCCTCTCACTCTCAGGTTGATAAACTAATCTCGAACGTTCCAGCAGGTAAGTCCTAATTTTGGCGCCAATAATGTTTTGATACTTGTCGAATTGAATCTAAACACAAGGGATTGTTGAGTATAGTTTTTACGTAGATCAACCAAATTTAAACTTCAAAACATTTATAGGCACCTCGAGGTATTTTCCGAATCGAGAACTATTGTCATTTCTTGTCGTTTTTGCATTACCAAAAGATTCCATAATAGGATTGGTGGCTGTAATAATGCAAGAAAATAATTATAATTATAATTAAATCTCAAAGTACATCTTTTCATAGTAAATGAACGTACCCATTATTTGTTTTTCAACTCTGCTCATGCCCGATGCAGAGGTAACCTGTTTCTTTGCATCCTGTATTTTTTCTTTATCATCAACTGACGCGAGATATCGCATTATAAATTTGGCACTAGCAGTTTTACCAGCACCACTGGAAATTAAAGAATCAAAGAAATTATAGATTAGCAAACATTGGCAATTATAAAAATCCAGAAAAAAAATTAATCAAGTAACCTTTCTCCTGAAACGACAATAGTTTGATTTTTTTCTTCCCGAATCATGCGTCGATAAGCGTCTTCCGCAATGGCAAAAAGATGTGGCTCTAATTCACCACGACGTTTTCCACTATATGCGTTGATAATATCTTGAGAATATAAAGAAATAGGGGAGAATGGATTTGTAGCAATCAGGACTATTCCGGAGTAAGTATATATGTTATGTTGTAAATATCGTGTTTTGATTGTATGAAGAACTGGAAACAGAATTTTAAAGCGTTAGCATATCATAAAAGTCATTTATGTTAAAATCCTATCACCGAGCAAAAGAACGCGAGAACAGACACCAATATGCGATGTGTAATACAACCTGCTGGTTCATTAAGATGACTCAAGCTTGTTAGATCATCCGCTGCCTCGAGCGCGGGAGGATTACGCAGAGGAGGTAATTCGGCATAATTTGATTGTTTAAGTTTATCAATGGTGGTCGTAATAACAACATCCTAATAGACGAGGAGAAATCGTGTTTATAAATTCAATGATAAAGTTATGAATTATGAGTAGTGGTATCACACTGTTGAGATCATTATGACTTTCTTTTCAAGATAAGCCCGTAGAAAAAATTTTATGGTTTCTCCAACAATCTCAATAGTAAATTGGTGATGGCACGATTATAAAAGAGGTGATTACGAGATGACGGCTGAGCATGTGAGGCTTCCTCGATCAGCCACTTATTTTACACAGTAAAAGCACACTACTATTGAGCACCAAAAAACGCAAAAGAAACGTAGTGAATCAAGAGATGAGATTTTTTTTTTTTTTTTTAGTTACCTTCCCGTTATCGGTCACGAAAGTCAATGTAATATTACCGCCAGTTTCATTCTTTGAGGCCAATTGGCCGCTTATCCAACCTTCTCTTTCATCGGGAAACCATACTGTCGTTCCCTTCCCATATACATCCAAAATATTCGATGTCATTGTATGATAGACTGAGAAGGCACCTTGTATATACGTATAGGGGCAAGGTCAGAGTACGTATGTATAATAAATTCACGAATCTTATCATTACATGTAACTTAACATTGTTACGCAACCATCCACTTAGTAATTCCATACCAAATGTAGTAACTTAAATTTCGGAACTCGTAATCACGTGTAAACAAGTCATTTCGGATTATGATTTATTAATTTATGTAATTGAGTAAAAATTTTTATATACAGTCTAACATTTTAATTTCATTAATAATTTTAATTTTGTATATTAAATAAATATTATCTTTTTATTATATTATAAAAATTTTAAAATATTTTACATGCAAAAAGTGATAATATCTCTCACATGACAAATTGATTAGTGAGTTTAATATTGTGATCAAAATCCATTTGATCTGTATCCGAGTGATAGTTTTTAGAAGGAATTAGAGATTAAATAGAACAGTCCATTGTTCCAGAGATAATCTCTCACAAATATTTCAAGGTACAACAAAGATTCCCCAATGAATCTTTGTAACCAATATGTGTTTAATAAAATAATAATACTTTATTATGACACCGAGTCAGAAATTCCAATGGTTACAGGAGTGAGTTATCAG